TTACTAGTTTTATTATGAATCTTGAAATCATTTGCCCGGAACGTAGTAAAATGATACCTCGTTGTCAATAAATTTTAAACAATAAGTAAAGACAGTTGATGTTATTTTTGCTAACCTGAAGCATTTACTATCTTAGTTTAGCCCTAGAAATGATAAAAAGATTTTTTAAATCAAATTAACTATTCAGGTAGTTTCCTGCCTGAGTAACTTCAAAAGTCTGTAACAGAAAAACTGGCCTCTTAAGTGTCATTTTTTTAATGTTATTGTGAAGGATTAAAATTAATTAGAAAGTATGAAATCATTTATTACTATTTTTCATTTAATGTTGAAAATTCAAGCCCCACTCTCCTGACAGAAAATTTTTAAGTTTCGATTAAAATTAATGTAGCTTCGGTGAATGTTAGGAAGCTAATTATTTTATGCATAATAGGGCAACTCATAAGGATCATGCTACAAACAAAAAAACTTGGAAAAATCTCACAATTACATTTTTTTTAATGTTAGGCTGTTTAGGGTGAACATTTTCAAAAAAAAGGATAAAAAAAATCATAACTCAAAAACTACAAAAAATCGCCGAACATACATAGGGTATTTTCGGATAACCCTAGGTGTGAGTAATCAAAAAAAAAATTTTATAACCTCACTGTTTGGACCACCCAGTATATTTATTTTTATGTACCTCTTGTACCTACTATATTATGATTTACTTTCTTTATCGGCGGCTCCACATTAGTGCCGTGAAGCTCCGTAAACAGGCGTGAACGTGAATGTGGATGGTTTTCGCGGGATTCACGCGCATTCACACCTGTTCCTCGATTAGAGTCGGTATTTTGTTCCGCGACAAAGGGTTCACGCACCCTTCGCGAGGCTTTCACGGGTACTCACCCACATTCACGGCCCCGTGCCAGTTCATTTCGGACTAGAAAGGCGTACGGACGATGTATTTTAGTCATACACACCATCTTCTTCCAATGCTTTCTAATAAATTTCTTGTTTTGGACGTCTAAATAGTAATATATTGCCCGCAGCAAATAAGGTTATTACAGCAGCAGCTTCTACGTGAATCGCGCATGAATTCACGGCGATAATGTAGAGCCGCCATCATGGCGTGAATTCGTGCGTAAATTCACGGCACTAACCTGAAGCCCCATTGTAATAGTCTTAGTTACTTATTGTATACTTTTATATTAACTTATTTATATTAACTTAACTTTTCTGGTAGTCATCTTTCATATGCCTAGTTAAGATGAAATGGGCGCCAAAAGCTGATTTTTTTACTATTATTAGATTTATTTCATTAAAAACTACGAATTCATCTTTTTTAAATCATTTTGAAACTTAAGATTTTCCTCAGCGAATAATGATGGCCAAAACACGATTGAAACATTTTGGCTCGCTACAAATAATAAAGTTTCCTCAAAATCTACAAATTTAGGGTACGTCCATTAAGGGAAAATGAAACTGCATTCGAATGTAATTAAAGCAATTACAATAAAATTATGTCTATGTGTTCACCAGTAAATACATGAGGGAACTATGGGTTTATTTTCAAATAAAAGAGTATATTTTATTTTAAAAAGAAATACCAAAAAATACTGTGCAATAAAATTGCGCGCGGGCCGGCCAAAGAAGAGCATATCGCCGCTCCTCACCACGATACTATTGAAAGTAGAAGTCTCGGGAATCTTATAATTTTTCATTCATAGTTATGAAATGCATGAAGATACATTTCAGTAGTTGGCTCTCAAAGCTTTTTATTAAGGGACACTGTACATATATTTATGAGACTGTGTTTTTACTACTTTGCATGATATAAGGAGCATGTTTCTTTTATTTTCAGAGTCACCTATGTTGCCTGATGGTAACAGTGTAAGTATTCTAGAAAATGTGCCATCCATCGCCTCTATTTTTCCTGATAATATTCTTGATACGTCACCTGACGCATATTATTCGTCTATTCGCAATCAATAATATTAAATTCAAGATAATCCTCACCTATCGAGATACCTGTAAATGAACTTAAGACTGAGATCACTCTGACCTTCTCCAGCAATTCCATTTTTTAGTCCAAATAGTCCTATAAGCATTAGTTTAACTGTACCTGATAATCATTCCAGTAATTGGTCTTACATAGAAGATACTAATTCCGCTGTAGGTACTCCTAATCAGATAAGTAATCGACGCAAGCGAAGTTCAACTATTAAAAAGACAAGCGTTGCTTAAAGGAGTTATAAAAACAAGAATGGAAGGATTTCCAAAAAATACAAAGTGAATAGAGGTTTAGAGCATACCAGTAGAAATGGAAAAATTTACCCTGGAAAAACAATTAAAACCACTCTGCCCTAAAAGCTGCCGTCGAAAATGTTATGATAGGATATCAGAAGAGAACCGAAAAATAATTTTTGAGATGTTTTGGAGGATTGGCAATCATTCATGAACCATGGTTGGAATCAATTGAAAATGCAGAGATAACAAGAATATCTGTTTGTAAAACAATGTCCCTTAGAACCCTTTCGATAAATTTTAACTTTGTTAATACTGCTCTAGAAAAATTTGATCGTGAAAGAGGGTTTGTATAATCCGATCAACAAGGAAAACATTTAAACCATCCAAAAACTATAACAATCAATATAGTGTAATGTGATTGATCATATTGAATCTCTCGCGCCTGTTGTAGCTCATTACGCTCGCAAAGGTTCGAAACATAAGTATTAGGATGGCTCATTGTCATTTCCGAAGGTTGTACAAGCTTTATGAGGAATGGTTTGATTCAAACGTTTATTCCGGAAAACCGTGTCTACTGTACGACAAGACGGTGATATTGTAAACAAAATTATAAATATTGCCTTCCAGGAGCCCAAAAAAGATGCATGCGAATAATGTCACATATTTTGAAATAAAAGGGCTACCGAAGAAGAAATACATAAAAAAAGAAATCATTTGAAAGAAAAGGACACAGCTAGAATATTAAAAAGGAAGACAAGGAATCAGCAATGCATTCTGCAATGAGGATTAGGTTGTAATTTTTACTTACATAAATGTCTAAATTTATCTCATGGGAATGTAAGTATTATTTTACTACTAAAGAATGGTATCTTAGCAAAGTTATTGCTATGCTTGGCATCAACAAATACACGAAAGGGGAAATAATAAAATTGCAAACTCTGTTTATAAATTTATTGAGATGACAGTATCCAAATATATAAAATGGTATTGTTTCTGGTCTGACAATTGTGAAGGCCAAAATGAAGGCAAGTTGCTACCGGGAACAGAATGTCACTTCAGAAGAAGGTTTGGTCTATTTCTGAAATCTGTGATAATATGAAACATGATCATCGTTATGAATGTTTACCATGGACAAATAGTCCGACTAGGTAAGTTCAACTTGACTTTGAGTTCAACTTGACGATGTCAGAAAGAGAATCGTATTTTTAATTTATCTTGTAACAAATTCAATATAAGTATTATTAGCCGTTTCCTTGTCGATAGTCATATCCAAAACGAAGGGGATACATGCATACCTTTATTGAGAGACTAAAAACAAGAATATTTACACCCCAGACCAGTGGTATGCGGCATTTTAATGTGCTAAAACAGATGGCAAGCCCTGTAATGTTATTAACTGTCACAGAAGTAAGAAGTCAATTCTTGTCTTGAAAGAACAACTCAAGGATTGCAATAATTAGAAAACTACTAGCGATAGAGTGAAACTAAAATATCGTGGAACAGTGTGTGAATTAAAATACAAGGAAAAGATCACTTTAAAATTATATTAAAGTACAACTATGAAGACGATTCTGTTAAAGTAAGAAATTAAACTTCCTACTGTAGATTTTGATAGATATAGGTTATTTATAAAACAAAGTATTAGTTTTATTTAAAAAAATCTTTAAAAATATATTTACCATTTGCTTTTATGGCCATTTTAAAATACACGGGTTCAATGGACCCACGACTATAGAAACGTAATTATTATTCACCACTATAGTTAAGGGTTAAATGACCATGCAGCTATTGCTACGCTTTTAGAACCAAGGTTTATAAACCTACACTTCCAAGACCCCTCTGCATGCGGAAGAGCTGTTCAAAAACTTATAACTGTGGTTGACGGACAACTAAGTAGCTCAATTGAGTCAGAAGATGATGCCTCATCTACTGCACCACCCGAATATGATTCTTGGAAACATCATAAAGAGTTAGCACACGGACACAAGAAGAAAAAAATCAAAATAAAATCTCATCAGGGCGATGAAGTTTCTCCATATTTATCAAATCCAGTAGTTTCCCTAAAAAGCAACCCATTTGCAGAATGGGATGATATGAAATTTGTATTTCCTTGTCTGTACAAATATGCACAACAATATTTATTTGTAGCCGCAATATCGGTTCCAAACAAGTGCTTATTTTCCAAAGCCGGAGCAACAATGTTGCAAACAATGAACAGATTGTCTCCAAAATACCTAGGTATTCTTCAGCTCTATAGTTCATAAAAGATAGCTTGATCTCTGTGACAGCTGTCAGTAAAAATCACGCCTATGAAGTCTGAATTTCTTAGTAGTACAGACAGTACCTGTCAATTTCATACTTTATGGGCATGCATTAATTAGGTCGCTGTCGCAGAGTTCAAGCTATCTTTTATGAAGAATAATATAATAATTTTATAAATTGCAATAACTTTTTTTATTTTGGCAACACTTAAAAGAAAAGTATAAAGTTAATTTTTTAAATTTGACATTGACATTGAGTTGAGTTTTTCCAATTGCGAGAGAAATCGGTATAAATCTTCAAATTTACTTGGTGATTTATGGTAAGTTCTTCTAGATTTTGTAGATTTGTTTCTAATATCTTAGAAATCAGACGTATTTTTGGTTTATCTTGTACAATTTTTTTTCTGCAATGATATTTCTTGGTGGTAAGAATATTCCCTCTAACCGTAACCCTATATTATATTATACAGCAGTAAACTAAAAGAAAGTGAATTAGAGTCGGCTCTGGAGGAAATGTTTGGTTTACCATTAGATCCAGACCAGTCCGAAGACGATGAAGAATCGGATGAGGATAATGTTTTACAATATCATAATGCGATACTGCAGCGGATTTTAGAGGATTTAGATGAACCAGGATTGCGATCTTTAGATATAATGACGGCTTCTCCTCAGCCTTCCACGTCGAGTGATGAACCGGACCCGCGATGTTTTGTAAGATTTGAAAGGGCATCGTTATCGCCTAAACCTTCTATGTCGAATGCAGAACTGCCTAGTAGCGCCTATCCTGGTACAGTTCAAACTGCAAGGAGACAGGGAAGTGGATATGAGATGGGTAAGGAAAGTGGACGAGAAATAGGACAGAAAAGGAGAGCTGAAAAAAGTCGGGATCATGGAGATAGTGGATCAGAGTCAGAAGTAGAGTCGGAAACAAATGCTTCTGACGAAAATGAAGATACATGGAAGAAAAAATTATGGACTGACAAGAGGCCACAACCAGACACCTTTAATAGTGTACCGATGATTCCATCACGCATGCTACCATCAAATGCCAGGCCTGTTCGTCACTTTGAAAAATTTTTTACTCAAGAAATTATCGATTTGATTATCAGAGAAACAAACCGATATGCTAATCAAAATAACGTCGTGGGGTGGACTGAAATTTATACCAAAGAATTGCAGGCTTTCTTGGCAATTTTAATTGTAATGGGCTACCACATTTTACCTTCTTTAGAACTTTATTGGTCATCAGATCTTGATTTTAGAGTTGAGGTAATATCTTCCATTATACAGAAGATTCAAGCAAATCCTAAGATGTTTGCACTTGAATGATAATTCCAAACAACCAGCGAGGTCTGACCCCGCCTATGATAAATTATACAAAATACGACCATTGTTGACCCTACTCATCAGGGTTTTTCAAGAAAACACCCATAACTCATCATCACAGTCAATAGACGAATCGATGATTCTTTTCAAGGGAAGGTCCTCATTGAAGCAATATATGCCCCTTAAACCGATAAAACGAGGTTTCAAGGTGTGGTGCCGTTGCGACGGTTCTACTGGTTATTTATATGAATTTGATAAATATACCGGAAAAGAAGGTAACAGTGTGGAAGACAATTTAGGAGCAAAGGTAATCACGAAATTGACTGAAAAATTGAAAGGAATGGCAGCTGTGCATGTCACATTTGATAATTTTTTTTGTGGTTTTAATATCATGAATTATCTGTATGCTAATGGTATTTATGCTACCGACACTGTACGCAGACAAAGAGCAGACTTGCCTCAAATTGCAAAGAGCAAAACAAACTGAAATTAGAAAAGGGTAATATAAATGGAGAGTAAAAGAAAACGTAGCTTTTGTGATCTGGCAAAACACAAAGGAAGTTCTATTTCTGACTAATGCTTTCCATCCAAAGGAAAATAAAACATTCGTACTCAAGACATAAAAAGATGGTACAAAAGAGTTCGACCCGCAGTTGTAAAGGAGTACACAGGCAGGATGGTCGGAGTTGATCACTTCGATCATATCAAAAGTACATATTCAGTTGGACGAAGAAGCAAAAGATGGTGGCTCCGCATCTTTTATTTTCTTTTTGATGCCTGCATCACAAATGCATTTTGCTTTACAGCACAAATGCTAATTCTGCGACACAAACCAATTTAGAGTTTCGTGTTGCCTTAGCAAGAGGGCTAATTGGAGGATTTTCATCGCGGGAACGGCGTTCAGCAGGCGTCAATTATGTTGTGAGAAAAAAAGTTGCGATTTCCGATAATTACCAAAAGTTGAAAATTGTCAATGTTACTGCCCCAGAAATTCGCTTTTCTAACGTTGGAGAGCACATTCCAGTTGATCTACCATCGTATCAACGATGTCGATATTGCAGCACTAAGATAAAAGATAAGCGGTCCAAGATCAAGTGTAGCAAATGTGAAGTTCCATTGTGTATAACGCCGTGCTTCCTAAACTTTCATAAACAAACGCAAACATAATGGAACATTCCTTTTTCTACACTTTTTCTTGGCCACTTGTCCTAGGTTTTTATGACATATTCTATGTGACATATGTATTCTAAGTGTATAAGGGGCAGCTTTCTGAAAAAATTTTTGGCTTCCCGTACGAATGTGACCAACATGACCGGTGCTATTTGTATGGGGAGTCGAAATTTTTTTTAATTTCTGCGAAAAATTTTCTTCAGTACCTTTCTCAGGATGATGATGAGTTCATGCTTAGTTTTCGGAAGGCTGTCCCTTACACCTTACATATTATATGTATAACTAACTTTTGTACGCTTATTTTATTTTTCTAACCTCTCACATCACTGTATTCTTATAATATTCAATCTTCTTATGTTATCTTAGTGCTTAGTTTCTTGTGTGCTCTTCTCTGCATAGCTTTCCAAATACGCGTTACATTTGTTTAACTATTTTTCCGTATCATGTAAATTGGACTCCAGACAGAGGGAATATTTTACCACCAATAGAAAAAATATATTTTTTTTTATTCTAATTTATATTTTTAGGCATCAAAAATAACCTTAAGTCGAAATCAGATTCAATTTATCATAGCTCGATCGTTATGTCCGTTAAGGGGTTAAGGCCTCGAAACCGACCACAATCGACCAGCTAAGCAAACGCAAATGGGTGAAGCAAGCACTTCGGACTTTTGCAGAAAAAGCAAATTCAGAGGTTGCAATAATTTTGAAGAAGATACACGCAAATCCATTCATATCTACTTCTGGAAAAAGCTAAGCCAACAATGATCGCTGATTACAACCATACTAAAGGTGGAGTCGACGAAATTGATAAAAAATGCTTGATATATTTCAGCAGTCGCAAAACAAGTCGATGGCCTATGGCAATATTTTTCAGAATTTTGGATTTAGGTGGTACTAATGCATTTGTCTTATACCAAAATTGTTCAGGTGCCAAACTACGAAAACTACGGGACTTTTTTTGCTATGTTTGGCACGAGAATTGGTAATTCCGAGCTTAAAAGAACGCGTTTATAATGACAGACTGCCCAGAGAACTCCATCTTACTAGTGTTATAAATAAATTGTAACTTAATAACAAAATATCATACTACTAAGGCCATCTATTGGTATATGAGTGTAAATCTGCCTACTCTGTTATAGACTTATAGATGACTATAAATAAAGGTTAGTCTGTTGCAAACCACCAAGCGAGTTTTATTATTTTATTAGCTATAACGCAAGTTTTAGGCAATGACTTGCCTGTCCATAACGCCGTGGCTGAGCTGCCAGGACCTGCTGGAAGGAAGCTATGCAGCATATGTCCAAGTAAATTAAAAAGGCAAACAAGATACTACTGCTGTTCATGCCAAAATTCAATTTACCTGCAATGTTCTTCTCCACTTTGTAAAGACTGTAAACTTAATTTATAGATTTAGGGTCAACTTTGAGACTGATTATCCAGCCTTATTGATCCATGGGATCTTGTTATGTTTTTTGATTTAGCGCTACAGGAGAACGTTATAAAGATAAGCATTAATTATTTTATAGAAGTTTGATTATTTCGTTTTTTTTTAGTAGTTTTGTATGTTTAAGCGTAAATATCATTAAAAAAATTGTCTCATTAAATGATTGCAAGTAGCCCGTCATTTTTATTTTGAGAATAAGTACTTATTTGTTTTTCATTATAAATAAACCCGTTAATCATAAAATAAATAGAATTTTATTACTTCAAAAAGATTTGCACATATCCCGCTCTATAACGTGACGTCTGACAGACTACGCCTCAGTCGAATGTTAATGACAAAGTCACCTCAATTGCAGAAGGTTAAACATGAAAAATTGAGAATGTTTTACAATAATAGTGTCGCAAATGACCTGAAAGTCAAGAGAACAATGTTTTACGAAGTGTTCACATTTGAATTCAACATTGTATTTCGTTCACCTGCATCAGATGCCTGCAGTTCCCGTATACTAATAATAGTATCAAAAACGAACAAGCAATATTCAATAAAAAGAAATAAGAACTAATGACAAAACTCCGTATCAATAAATTGCGAGCACACTTTTTCTTGAAACTTTAAAAAAAAGGTTGATGATAGTATTAATATTTGTTTTGATCTCCAGCAGGTGTTTCCTCTACCTAGGACACTAATTCAGGAGGCTTTTTATTCCCCTCAGATTAGTCTATATAATTTATATGTAATGGATCTGTCAGAACAAAATAATTCTTGCCTGTATAATTGGGATGAAACGGAATCTGGCAAGGGTGCTGTGTCAATTGGATCTGCGTTATACTGCTTCTTGAATACGTAAACAATACCAGCTAATGTGAAGTTAGTAAGACTCTTTTGTGATGGCTGCGGAGGCCAAAATAAAAACAGTCATGTGTTGCATATGCTGCTATTTTGGCTTCAAAATAAGTCCCCGACACATGTTAACCCTAGAATACTAATGTTAGTCAATTCGACTAACACTGCACCCAAATCTTGCTGTCTCTTTCTAATGAATGCGCCGCGCGACTTGATCATTCGTGTCAACTCAGTCGCCGGTCGGACGTTTACGGTAGTAACGGTGTCGAGCCGGTAAGTACAGCCATTTTGGAAATAATTCGTTTCATTTTTGAATTAATAGTCGATATGACTAATGATTAGTATTTATGTAACTTTTGCGATAAATTTCTTTGTATTATTATCGTGAATTATTCGTTTGTTTATCGTATTTTGTTTCATTTTAGATTAGAATGATGAGGACAGTGGCGGTGATTTGGAATCTGCTGGAAGTGAGACAGAGGACCAGTTAGAGATCGAGCAGCTGGAACAAACGGATGAAGAAGATAGGCCAACTGAGGTAATATCATCCAATGTATCTAACCCAGATTCATCTATAATATCCGAGGAGACTTCGACAACACAGAAGAGTACAGCCCAGGAGAGTAACAATTCTTCTCTTCGTTCAAATATGATCCCCTTTTCTCAGAGTTTTACGCGGGAAAAAAGGATGTTTTTTAAAGGCCCCCCCAAAAAAAACTAAATTTCGGACCAAGGGAAAAATTGTTTATCTGATATGATCTTAGATGAAATTGTAAAATGGACTAACGCAGAGATAATAATAAACAACAAAATTATGCTACCCTTCGAAGCACTCAGCAACCCACAGACAAGTGTGAAATTAGAGCACTAATTGGGATCTTCATACTTTCCGCTGTTCTCAAAGACAACCACTTGTCTACTGACGAACTTTTCGACTCATCTTTATCTGGCACAAGATATGTATCTACAATGAGCAAAGATAGATATGAATTTCTTATACGTTGCCTTAGATTTGATGATAAAAATTTAAGATTATCATCTCAAAATAGGGACAGATTTGTACCGTTTAGAAAAGTATGGGAGTTCTTTATAGAAAAGTGCAGAACTAATTACCACCCTGGCATGTACATAACTATCGACGAACAATTGTTAGCCTTCAGAGGCCGATGCCCATTCAGGATGTATATCCCCAATAGACCCGCAAAGTATGGATTGAAAATAGTTATGATGTGTGATAATGGGTCAAAATATATGATCAACGCCATACCATATATAGGAAAAGCCACTGATACCGGGGGACTGCCTCTAGGCGAGTACTTTGTAAAAGAGCTTACCCGACCCCTTCATGGTTCAAACCGAAACATCACAACTGACAATTGGTTTACGTCCATTCCTCTAGCTAAGTCACTACTTTGCGAGCCAAATAAATTAACTATAGTGGGTACCTTGCGTTCTAATAAAAAAGAAATACCCAATGAGATGGTTAACACCAGAACTAGACCTATAGGGGCATCAATATTTTGCTATGATGGTCCTTTGACCCTGCTATCATACAAACCAAAACCAAACAAGATCGTTTATTTGTTATCATCCTGTTCAGAAGAAGGAACTGTCAGCCAAGAAACCAACAAGCCACATATGGTTGAATTTTTATAACCAAATGAAGAGTCGACAAGTTTGACCAAATGTCTGCAAACATGTCCTGTAGCCGCAAGACGAATCGATGGCCTATGTGCATCTTTTATGGGATGTTGAACATGACTTTTATAAACAAGGGCAATTTTAAAAGGAGTTTTCTTCCGCGTACAACCTCTCTGTGGAATAGTTTACCACCAGCGATTTTTCCGAACCGATACGACCTGGGGACCTTCAAGAAAAGAGCGCCTGCAATTCCCCTGGTGTTGCGGTTGATCATGGGCGGCGGTAGTCACTTAACATCAGGTGAGCCACATGCTCGTTTGCCCCCCCTTCTATAAAAAATCAGCTACGTTATTTATTGTGAAAATAAACTAAATGCCAATGAAAAACCTTTAAATCGAAAACAATTCATGAAAGAATTGCATACAGCCCTTGTTAATCATTACATGGAGAGACGTCTAACTAAGCCGACATTGCATAAAAAATTAAGAGCTAACGTTCAAGACTTGGTTCCAGATAGTTCAAGAGAAAGTAGCACTAGTTCTAATGAAGCTTCAGGATTGAAAAAAGGAAGATTTGTAGCTATTGTCCGTATAAAAAACATCGCATGACCAAATCTATGTGCTCAAAGTGCACCAAAAATATTACATTACTGCAATAAAAACTAATAATTTTTTTATGCATTTATAAAACATTATTCTATAATATTTAAGTTTATTTAGAGGAGGTTAAAGGTTTTTATTATTATTTTTTTAAAGTTAATCAGACTGATGTTTGGATCTCACTAAAATAATTCATAAATACTTTAACTGTGTTGATTACTTAATAAATACTATACTATACTAACTACTATACTAACTTTGCTTTTTATTTTAAATAAGATAAAATAAACCAATAATTAAAATAAGAAATAATATATATGTATTTATAATATATAACTATTATTAAGTAGGTTTACATAGGTGTTAGTCAAACCACTAATAATAAGTATTTCCGTATAAAAAATATGATTAGTATTCTAGGGTTAAGGAAATACAAATTTATTTCTCAGTGCAAGGGCACAGCTTCATGCCAGCGGACCGTTTATTTGGCAGAATTGTGAAAGATGTGAGAAAAATACCAGTGATTACTACGAGACAAGAATATTTGTAATGTTTTCTAAAAATGGCAGAGTGTGCGAGCTTGGTAAAGATTGGTGTCTGTATGATATTAAAGGTCAATTGAACTGCGTAGTAAATGCTTCACCAAACTATAGATTTGAGTCCGGAGAACAGTTTATATCACTACTGAAAAGGGGCAAACATCATCCAAGAAATATTGAACAAATTCAGGAAGACCGATGACTGAGTGCTGCAAAGAAAAATGATGTGACCAGTCTATTAACAAAACAGTTTGGTACCGATTGGGAGAACCTTTCGGCATTAGAATGGTATAAGCAAATATTAAGCTGTTCTAGAAACATTGCAGAACAAAATGAAGAAATAGATGATGATGAAGCGTGTATTTGTACTGAGATGGGTGCAGAAGACATAAGAATTTAATTTTTCATTATTAATTGTGTATTTGTCACATATTTTAATTATTAAATAAATAATAAATCCAGAACATAAAATGTTATTTCCTAACCTTACTTTTTTCAAAATATGATATTTCCAAACTGTTTGGTACAAATCATGATATTTTCGTCAGATCTGATCAGAACAGTTGAACAGAAATAAAGATAAACAATTTGAAACAAAAAAAAAATAATAAAAAACATACTTAATAAGCTTTTACAGCTATGTATTTAGTCATTAGAACCCATATTTTTCTAATTGCACAAAGGCAAATTAGTTGCCGGTTTTAGACCTTTTGTGAAAAATTAGACATCATTGAATTATCATGTTTTGTTCTGTCACTCCTCATATTACAAATGCACCTTATATAAAAAAATAGAGCCAGGGAGGAGAAGGCAAAGGATAAAGAGGATGCAGCATTGGAATATTGCATTTTATTAACGATGGACTTAGAATTGGTTAAAGTTTACCCTTACTCCACGGCAAGCACTTTATATTTTAAAACGAAACTGACATGCCATAATTTTACTTTTCGACTTGACATCATGTCATTGCACATGTTACTGGTTCACAGAAACAGCAGCAGACCTTACTGGGAGTACTTTCGCATCATTTGTGGTGGACTACTTAGAGCGCCTTGCTTGCCGAAGAAAATGCCAATAATTATATATTCAGATGGTTGCCTGTACCAAAATCAAAATGTTGTAATAGCAAATGCGCTTCTAAACTTGAGTATAAAGCACAAAACCACCATTATCCAAAAGTTCCTTGAACATGGCCATACTCAAATGGAGTGTGATTTGGTTCACAGTGTGATTGAATTGAAACTCTCAAATTGCGTAATTCATTTGCCGTATGATTATGTGACGGTTACTAAAGAAGCAAGTGCATCAAATCCCTACAAAGTAATTCAGATTGACCATAGTTTTGTGAAAAATACGCCGATACATCCACTTGGCTTTACAAAATTATAAGACCAGGATGCAAAGCTGGTGACCCTACTGTAAGAGACTTAAGCTATTCTTTATAACCAAGAAGACACTATCAAAGTTAATCTACGTTATGAGCAAGATTGGTTTGCCTTGCCACAAAGACAAAAACGATTTAACCCCGGCGTTTCTTATTCGACTTTACATAATGATATGATTAATAACTGTCTCAAAATATCAACACCTCCAAGAGCTCAAACAAGTACTACCTAGTGAATTTCATAATTTTTATGATACACTTAGGGTTGCCAGATTGGCTGGACTTGGCTGGATTGTCCAGCTATTTCACACGTTGTCTAGTGCCCCGGTTTTAGAAAAAATGTCCAGCTAAAATGAAGCTGAAAATTAAAAACCACCAGTATTAGTGGTTTTCCACCGAGTTGGCAACACTGGCTCCGCTGCGGTCTCTCGCTATTTACGCCCGAGACTTTCTCGTCCATCCGACGCCACCCGCTATCATCAATTTATCTCACTCATTTCATCGGGAATCCTGACAGTTGGTCGTGTCGTGCGTTGATGTGCTAGAGTATATATATGAGAATATATATATGTTCTGAGGTTGATTGAGTGCGTTCGTTTTTATATTAGCAACTAAAAATTTGTTTTACGACAAATCCGTTGCACTTGCAAAGTAAGTAATTTAAATTTTAGTTATTATTAATTTTATTGACGACTTATTGTGCATTTTTAAAAGGTCTATAATAGTTTAATACCGATATTTTATGAAATAAATATATTAAATATTTGTCTAATATAAAAATTTTACTTTTTTAGGAAACAGTATCCCAGGCCGACGAGTAATCTGAGCCTGGCCCTGGTAAGAAAAGGAGATTGACTACCTACTCACACCATTGGGAGAAAAACCCGGAGTTTTGAAAATGATTACAAAAAAGAAAGACAATTTCACTGCTTATTGCAAATTATGCCAAAGCGATATTAAAATAAAATTTGAGGGAAGTCGTTCTTTAGAAAAACATAAAGCCACGAAAAAACATGCAAAACTTTAGTCATCTTTAAAAATTGCAGGTAATCTTCAGAATTTTTTAGTAACGAAAGATAGCAACGAAGAAACTGAAAAAAAGAAAGAACCAGCAAATATCAGCATTACAGTACAGACAACGCATCAGTGAATTATGGAAAACATAATTCGGTTTACCAAAAACTTTATGATATCAATAATCACATAATGAAAGCTAATTGCAATTGATGTCATAAAGCCTTCCAGACCAAATTAAGGTCACAGCGGCCCTGACAAAGACTAGCCAGCCACCTGTGCAGAACAAAATTGTTATTAATGTCTGCGCTATCACAAGTGAACTAACATCATCCTGAAAGTCCGATTGTTCGGCAATCTCATACGAAGCGAGAGAGGTCACGGTAGTGAAACATTGCCAACTTCCTGACTCGGGAGGCTTCTGAGAAACCCTTCACAGAAAGAAAGAGGAAAGAATGAAAAACTAATACGTTCCCTGTTGATGATGATCCCTCTGGCTACGGTTCTATAATTAAAGCACGGCGACTTAATAGACGAACAGTGAGTGACAGCAACAGCGTTTCATGGGTTCCAACTCAGACAGTGGTTCAACTTTTTCTGGACAAAAACTTCCTCCCCATATTACGCCAGTGGAAAAATATGTTTTGCCACTAATTCAGTGTCATAAATGTTGTAGATTTGGCCATGTTACTTCCCAGTGCCGAACATCCCCTCGCTGCTTTGTATGTGCACAGAATCATGAAGGTTTATCTTGTACAACACTACACCACAAAAGACCCTACTTGTCCTGAACATCTAAGGCAAAAATCTATTAAACTTGTTATGTCACAAGAAAATATTTCATATTTAGAAGCTTCAGCTAGATTCCCTCAGACAAAAAGATCCTTTGCTGATACAACAAGAATCCAGCCTCGTAATTGTTCTCAACAGACCCCTTATATCATAACTCACGGTCTTTCAACCCCTTCGGCTCAGCCCTCACAAACTGCGTACCTACAGCCAATCATTAAATTCTGGATATGATATGGCAGCCCATCAGGCAATTGTTGAGAATTCTAATTCTTCCCTCCCTCATTACACATCCATGCACACCCAATAGGTGTGCTCTACTGGGGAATGACAACACCTCTAATAATGATAATTTCTGCGAACTTATGATATCAATGCTAATTAATATGATCTCCCGTTTTAGTGACACAGAACTTCCTCTCAGCTTACGCCAAAAACTTACTCAGCTTACTTCATTAACTAGTAACATTCATAATTCTTCAATGGAATTGTAGGAGTATTAAACATAAGAAGAATAAACTCATCTTCTTTACTAACAAATTTAGCCCACTTGTTCTTGCCTTCCAGGAGATGTGACTTAGACCTATCTCCCAATTTAGGGTCTCAGGCTATTCACGCCTTCGGGATGGTAGGAGCGATGGACATGCTGGTTCCTCCGTTTTGATTTGAAGAAAAATTACATACTCTTCTATACCCCTAAAAGCAGACTGGCATCATTACTCATCATTACTTTTTGAACTATTAATTTCTATGCTTATTGGTATGTTATCCTGTTTTAGTGATACTGAACTTCCCTGTAATTTACATCAGAAACTTACTAAGCTTTCCTCCTTAGCCCATAACATACGCAATCCCACCAATTCTTCAATGGAATTGTCGGCGCATTAGAAACAAAAAATGAACTCATTTACCTCATTAATAAACTTCATTCCTTCATTCTTGCCATCCAGGAGACATGGCTTAAGCCTGAGTCTCATTTTAGGGTTTCAGGCTACACATGCCTCCAGGATGATAGGAGTCATGGTCGTGCTGGTACCTCTATTTTAATTTCAAGAACAGTTACATTTTCACAAATTTCTCTCCCTTTTCATAGTCCAGCAATAAATGCTGTTGTTATTAAAGCCCTTGACATCTCTATTCTTTCTGTTTACATTCCTAATCCTGATGTAAATGTCTTAACAGAACTTGCAACACTTATTTCTTCTCTGTCACCTATGGTTATTTTGAGAGATTTTAATATGCATCATACTGTTTGGGGCTTCCATCTTTGTGATTCACTGGCTCCCTTATTTTTAGATCTTATTGATAATTTTAATCTCTGTATTCTAAATGACGGGTCTCCTACCCGTCGAGTATCCCCATTACAAAATGTTAGAAGTGCCGTTGACCTAACTCTCTGTTCCCCAGATATTGCTTCCCTTCTTTTGTGGCAAATATTACCTTCTAGCTATGGCAGTGACCATTTTCCTATATTCGTCACTCCTCCTACTTCCCCCTAGAATAATTTTTACATTTTGCCGGAGACTAAAGTATAATCTATTCAAAGCTAATTGGCAATTATATTCTACAGTTTTGGAACGAGAGGTTTCAACTCTTCCCCCAATTAACAATGATAATATTGTTCCTGTATATATAGAGTTCTGCTGCTAATAAGTCAATCCCCTTAAAAAAAACATTCAAAAATAATTATCGTTTCCCTCCTTGGTGGGATCAAGATTGTTCAGCAGCTTGTAGGAGAAGAAAAGAGGCTGAATTAATATACTCCTGTTCTATGACTGCAGAGAATTATATCTCTTATAAAAAAATTGCTGCAGAAACCTTAAAATTACTGTCAGACAAAAAGCGCACTGGTTGGTTTAAATTCTGTGAGTCAGTGTCACCTAAGACTCCCCCATCTTTGGCCTGGAGATATGTTAAAAAATATCGCTGTGCAGTTTTTAATGAAAATATAATTTCTAATGATCCTTCCCCATGGATAGATGAATTCTCTAATAAACTTGCACCACAAACAGTCCCATCCTATGATGAATGCCTCGTTTTTAATTCTGCTTTATTAGGAACAAATGATAAATTTGATTTCCCCTTTTCTTCTCAGGAATTGTTTACTGTACTCAATGGCATTAAAGACTCCTCACCAGGTATTGACGGGATACCTTATTCGTTTATAAGTAATAGTAGTGAGAACACTAAAACTGTCTTACCATCCATTTTAAATTTTATTTATATTACTGGTGATCCTCCTGCTGAATGAAAAACCCAAATTATTTTTTCCATACTCAAACCAGGTAAGTCTAGTAATGACCCTTCCATATACCGACCTATTGCCTTTTCTTGTACTTTGGCAAAAATCTTGGAACATTTAATAAAAAATCGCTTGGAATGGTTTTTGAAAAGGAATAATGTCTTACCTAAAAGCCAATTCAGTTTCCGAAAAGGTTTAAGTACCATGGATAGCCTTAATACTTTGATCACAGCTATTCATATTGCTTTTTCAAGACATGAATTTCTCATAGGAGTTTTCTTGGATATTTCTTCTGCATATGATAATGTGCTTCTTCCTGTGCTCCGGCAGAAAATGCTTAATCTGAGCATTCCAGTGAGGATAGTCTATTACGTCTCTAACTTTCTCTCTTCTAGATCAATATCTATTAATGTTAAAAATTTCCTGCTTCCTCCAAAAACTATATGGAAAGGACTTCCACAAGGCTCAGTTCTTAGTCCTCTCCTTTATTCTATATAAACTCATGATTTAGAACTTTCAGTAAATTCTTTTCATAATGTTCTTCAATATGCAGATGATTTAGCTCTATACATCTCCTTAGACAACTTCTCAGTGGCATGTTCCCGTCTAAACTCATCCATGGATTATTTACAAGAATGGTTAACTAAACATGGCCTCTCTTCATCTGTGGCCAAGAGTAGTGTGGTGATCTTTTCCCGTCAAAGGCGAGTTCCCGATATATCTATTGTTTATGAAAAGCAACCTATTCTAGTTAAACGCAATGTTAAATTTTTGGGAGTTATCCTCGATTCGAAATTGGCCTTCGTTCATTACATTGAATATATAACACAAAAATGCGAAAAAAAACATAAATATAACATTAATAAGTTTTTGTCTGGTGTATGGTGGGGTTCCCATCCTTTTTCTCAGAAATTACTGTACAATGCTTTAATACGAAGCCACCTTGACTATGGATGTTTTCTCTTCAAGCCCTGCAATAAATCATCCCTGAAAGTAATGGACAAAATTCAATCGAAATACCTTCGCATTGTTACAGGGGCAATGAAATCCTCACAAATAAATGTTCTTCAGGTTAAGTGCGTAGATCCTCCTTAAAGATTGAAAAGGCAATACCTTTCAGACGGATTCTTATTTAAGATCTGCCAGCTGTCAGATCATCCCCTAATTCCTAAATTGCATCTTCTTTCAGAGTATACTTCATCTGACCAATTCTGGGCCCATAAGGACTCTCCCTGCTTGTTAAAAATAAAAATACCCTATTCAGACCCCATCTTAAAGGAATCCATGTTTCAGTGGCCTGAATCCCAGGCCACAGTGGTATCCATGATAACGAAACAGCTGATGTTCTCGCTAAAAATGCAATTGCTTATGGCATTCTACAAAATTTAATTTATTCACATGACCTAATTTTGCTAGCTAAAAGGAAACTGAATGAAAATTGTATCCAAAAATGTTAAGGGTAAGCACTATGCTGCCATTCAAGAGGTTATTCCTCCCAAGCCTTGATTCTTTAAATTTAACAAAGCAAATAAACATGCAACGTCAATCATTTGAGTCATCTAGTTTCAAAACCCCCTAAAACGATTTTATCCTATAATCAACCTTATATTATTATATGAAAGCGTTTCATTAGTACTTCAAGTTTGGCCATTCAGTTAGTGTCAAATCCATCTAAAACACTAATAAAAATTGTTATAAAGTCAACGATTGGGATCAAAAGCCACTAAAACCTTGCATGTGGCTTTCACAAGCCCCTATAAACTGACTGACCAATAGCAGCGCGTCATTTTTGACACGTGACTACCTTAACTATGCAAACAAGATGGCGATTTTTGTTGTGTGGTGTAGATCTGTGTTTGGTAATTTAAAGATTTTATGCGTAAAAAATGGAAGACTTAATGAAATTTGTGAGGAAATGTGATCCAAAAAAGACAAGGAAACGATCTGTGAATAAAGCAACCTGAAAACGTAAGATCCTACGCGAAAAACGGTACGTGATTTATCCTTTAAAATCAGCATCGACATTAGCAATAATGGTACTATGCAGTAGGTACCTATGGAATATAAAACTGCAGCATGTTCTATTTTAATATTGTTTTGTTATTCATGTAAATACGAACGTTTACCTTCATATATCTTTTGTATGTATTTTTAATTGTTATGCATCATTTGGAGTGTAGTAATTTTAATTATTTTTGATAAATTTAGAAAAGATACGTGTAGTTGGTGGATATGTGGTAACACAGAAGCCATAACTAAAAAAATATTGGCCCATTGTTAAATACCTACATTAACTTTTGTTAATGTTGATTATTTTTAGTTCAAAATCGCAATTTTTTTAAGTCCGAGATTGTCTGAAAGAAGTAGCTCTTAGTATTAATTCTTTAATCCTTTAATTTCATCCTACTATCATATTTTATTAGCAACATTTATTTCTGAAATTTTTATTTAAAATGTTATTTTGGTTTTAGATACAAACCCTCAAGCTTGCCGCAGTTTCCGCAGTGTGGACACAAGCAAAAGGCGTTTCGATGTAGTGAATTATCATGTCAAGATATAAGGAAATTCCACAAGAATTTCTATAAGTGTGCTACGAAAGTGAAGCAGGACTGTTTTATACTGAAATATTGTAATATATCAGAAGCTAAGTCATTAAAACCTAACAGTAAAAGAAAAGTAGCAATTAGGTATACTATACTTAGTAAAAATACGACCAAACTACCGGTATGTCAAAAAACTTTCATGAGAGCACTAATAATAAAGAAAGATCGAATACAGGGCGTAATGAATAGATTTTTACGTAGCGGAGGCGAAATGCCAGAAGAGAAACGTGGAGGTGACAGGAAGAGAGGAAAATACGAAGCAAAAAGATTATCCGTCGAATGGTTCATCGAATCATTTCAGGGACAAGAGAGTCACTATTGTCGTTCGAAAGGTATCAATAGAATATATCTTCCTTCAGGTTTGACAATACGTAAAATGTGGCGTATGTATAACGCTGCCCGTGACGAGGATTTGAGAGTTAAACAAAGTTTTTTTAGACATATTTTTAATTCTAAGTATAATATAGGCTTTGGGAATCCTAGGACAGACGTGTGTTCAACGTGCATTGAACTGTTAGAACGCATAAAAACGGAGAAGGATGCTTCCAAGAAAAACATACTTATGGTCGAAAAAACAATTCATCGCCTTAAATACAAAGCCTTCTATGCAATATTGCAAGAAGAAAATGAAATTCTTCAAACCATAACCTTCGATTGCCAAAAAAACCAGGCTATGCCTAAAGTTCCGGATCAATCTGCCTACTACAGTCGTCAAATCAACTTTTACCACTTCGCCATTGTTGTAGGAAATTCCAAGGCTAAACTAGACAAAAATAACATTCATTCCTACTATTGGGATGAAACTTCACACTGCAAAGGTAGTAATGAAATAATTAGCGCAGTTTACGATTTCTTAAAAAACTTTGAATTCGGAGATAAAATAAATATTCTACGAATAGTGTCCGACGGTTGCGCCGGACAAAACAAAAATACAGGCATGATAGCTATGCTCGGTAAATGGCTGTACACAGAAGCCCCAACAAATATTAGGAAAATAGAGCTGATATTCCCCGTTGTAGGTCACTCCTTTATACCTCCAGACAGGGTGTTTGCCAAAATTGAGAAAATATTGAAAACTAAAGAAGTGATAACCTCTCCATCCGAATATGCAGCTGTCTTAGAACAAAATGGTATGTGCAAAGATCTAGCATCAATTCCTGTATTTGATTGGAAAAAAAGTTACGAGTCCATCATTAAACCTACTACATCTTGGCATTTTCAGTTTATGAAAGCAAAAAGGTTTTTTATTACAAGAACGAAAACAGCAAACATTTTAGTACAGGGTGAAGAGACGTATAGAATTGAAACACGCGAAAAAAGGACAATCACAAATAAAAAAAAATCACTATGATATCTCCTCAAGTAATCCAGCCAAATCGTGTTTACATAAAAAAAGCAAAACTTCAAGACGTCGATAGACTTCTTAAAAAACATTATGGAGATGAGTGGAGAAATTTGGAAGAATTGATTTTTTTTAAAACTGTAATGGAGAGAACCGCGGAAACGGAAGACTTTCTGAGATTGTCAGAAGAGACTGATTTATGTGAAGCAGGATTTACGGAAAATATTTGTCACGTTTAAATTCTTTCATTTTTATTGTATTTTTAATAGGTACGTAAATTTAATTATAAAAACACAATAAAATCTTTTATTTCATGCCCGTAACAGATTTATCACTATTTTTTTATATTATCAATCAAAAGAAATTACTTTATTCTGGATTTTTATGAGATTTAATGAAAGTTATATTCACCTACTTTCTTAGTTTGGTTAATCTTGGTGGTTGTCGATATCTTGTATAACACCATCGTTTGTTAAGATATTGTCAGTTGCAAAACCCACTAAAAAGTGACATGTTACTATCAAATTCCTCTTATTTCAGGAGTGAGTTTCATAAGCCGCTAAAATAAAATAAAAAACCTCCATATTTTTGATTATTTAACTGATATGTTGCTGAAAAGGAATTTTAAAGTGTTTGGTATATTCTGTGGGTTCACATAATACAAAAAAGTTTATTGTCTATATCATTTATCGATGACGAGAAGTTTTTACTAGTTTGAGGAAAATAAGCAAAACTTATTTTAGTGGCTTTTGAAACTAGACGACTCATTTGTAGATTAAGAATTGGACATGCTTGTACACATGTACATCTGGCAAAAATCAGAGTAAGGGATAGCTCATTGTGTGAATGTGGCTTAGATGAAGGTTCCACAAACCATATTTTTTTTTCAACTGTCCCAAATTATCCTCCTCCCTTTATGATTACCTTCCTCCTTATATTCCTCGACCTATAGATTTTAATTCTCTTTTAACACATACCAGTACTCCTTTTGTGTATATTTTATGTGATTTTATTAATACTAATAATACGAAACTTTAAATCCTTGTCACTTTTAACATACTGATAAGATGTTAAAAGTGACCTGTGCTTGTCATATTTGTTCTAGGTAATTGAACAAGTAGATTTGTCAAAACTCTCTGAGGAAAACTGAATCCTTGTATTAACACGGACTCTTATTTTAATTAAACTCATAAGCTTTCACTTTCCACTCAACACGTCATTGGCTAATTTTATCAAACCGCCACAAAAGAAAGAAAGAAGAAGAAGATTTGTTTCAGTTATTTTCGTCTTTTTAGTTATTTTGAAAATTATATTTCCTGTTCCATTGTGGCAATTAATAAAAAATATGATTTTTCTATGTGCTGTTTTATTTCAAAAATGGCTATCTACTACTTACTTAAAAATATTTACTATAATAAAACCAATGCTAAGTCACGTTAATTGTACAGAATTATATATATAGTCAATTCTAGGCTAATTCTAGTATACCTATTTCAGCATATTTTTTCTATTTTTAAAGATATAAACATTTCAAGTTTCTTTCTAGTTAAAGCAGAAAAATGTTTTAATTTACCTCCTGTAAAGTTAACTTACTTACTAATACTTAACTATTGAAATATATACTACTGATTCTTAACCGTCGATATGGTAAATATTCAAATATATTGTAAACGAGTGAATGTTACAGTTAGATCATTATAGGCCATAATTTAAATAATGTGTACTAAGTCAACTACATTATCTTGTAAACTCACTAGAACAGATCTACTATTTTATTATCTAAGGGTCTCAAATCTTAAAATAATACTAACTTACAAAATATCAACATTCTAGTACAAAAACTGAAAAGTTATAAAGAATTAATTTTTGACAGGCTATCCTGTCAACAACTAATACTGGCTATGCTCGGGATTTCTCTGCGTGATAAACGTAGAAATGAGGATATCCGCAGTAGAACCAGAGCGACGGACATAGCTCAACGGATTAGTAAGCTGAAGTGGTAATGTGCCATCCATATAGCTCGAAGAACCGACAACTGTTGGGAAAAAAGGCTTTTATGTGGCAGCCTCGTACCGGTAGGCGTAGTGTAGGGCGACCCCCCACTAGAAGGGCCTTACGAGACATGCAGGAACTCGATGGATGCAGGTGGCTCAGGACCATTCTTTGTGGCATTCCTTGGGGGAGGCCTATGTTCAGCAGTGGACTTATGAAGGGCTGTAATGATTATGATGATGAGGCACTCCTATAAAATTTGAATTTTGTAGTTGTCTCATTATACTTAGGAGCCATCAATATGCTCAGCAGTGGGCTTTAATAGGCTGTAATGGTAATTTTATAATTTCTTACTGCATAACAATGAATTTACTGAAATTATATACTAACCGCTCAATTCCCTAGTGGTCTCATGAGACCGCACCCACCCACAGCACTATTACCCATTAAAACTTATAATTTTATAATTAAAGACTACTTTTCTATAAAGAAGTTTGGCGTTATAGAATCAATATGAAATTTTCTATGCTCTATAGTTGAACAAAAATTCAGTTAGTTTATAGATATTCATTAATAATCTAAATTCAAAGTGCGTCATTGTGGAGTGTTCGTTGTTGTACATTTTGTTGATTTTTGGATTTTTCTAAGTTAAGAACAGTTCTTTTATATAATATAAAATTGTTATATAAGTTTGTCTGAATATAATTTATATTTTTACGTAAATAATTTTGAATAACATATAGAAACAATAGTAATTTTCAAGCTACCGTCATCCGCTTGGTATGTAGTTATCAAAATACAATAAATTTTGTAAGGATTAATCCATTGAATAACTGACCTTTGTTTAAACTATAGAATAGAGATATTTTATAGATTCTATAATGCCAAGCTTCTTTATAGAAAAGTAGTCTATAAATAGTTTTTATGGCATGCGTCTGTCAAATCCCAAACGGTCACATGCGACCGCACCCACCCACAGGTAAACCATTAAAACTTATATTTGTAGACTACTTTTCTTTAAAGAAGTTTGGAATTATAGAATCTATACGAAATTCTCCATCCTCTAGTTGAATAAAAATTCAGTTAGTCTATAGATATTCATTTATAATCTACAGTACCTGTATGAACGAGCTTTGCTCGGTTTTCTTTTTAATTACATTTAGATACAAATTACATACTGATTATAAATATTTTTTGATCTTATTGACATAATAGAAAAAACTGAACTGGTTATATGAATATTTTGAGTGCAATTAGTTTAATTAAAATTTTCGTATTTTTAAAAAATACTAAAAAAGGGGCTTGAAATAATAGATTTTCTCACAAAAGAAAGTAACTTTTAAAAAAAAAGGAAAAAAATCTGACCAAAGACGAGACGCGAATCAAGGCATTAAGATTTCGCCGCCACTCTATATCCATTTGAGCTATTACGATCATTAACACAATGTCAAAATTTACCTTCCTATATTGTAGCAGTTTTTCATTGCCTGAAAAGACGGACAAAAAAACATTTTCTAAAAATAAATCCTAGCTAGATCGATTTATTGCCCCCGAAACTCCCTGGACACTAACACGGAGCCGTTTCCGAGATTCCAATTATTTATATATATATATATATATATATATATATATATATATATATATATATATATATATATATATATATATATATATATATATATATATATACGCAAGAATTGCTCATTCAAAGGTATAGGATTCAAAGGACATCATTGTCGGTTATGTCCGTGTCCGTAGTACAATTAAAAAACAGCATAATAGTGATCACCTCCTATTTAGGGGTTATTATCAATAATGAACAGACTATATTTAAGTTATTTAAAACCAAAAATAGAATTTCTCCTGTATTATAGAGATCTGTTAATAATATTAGGTATACAGATTTACTAACGGGCAATTTTTTTATAATATAATATTTTATTGATAAACAAACTTACTATCCACCTGATGGTAAGTGGACACTGCAGCCCATGGACAGCTACAATAGACTTCTAACAAAGAAAGTTACAGATGCATTGTCACCTCTGAAGTCAAAGATTGCTGCATTTTTTTTCCTAGTTTGGTAACTTCATATGGATTCCGCCATCATCAAGTTTCATGAAAGTCACACAGAGTATTCAACTAGTTTCCATTTCCATAGAAATGCTTACTTAGCCTTATTTATTTTTTTTATTTTTTTTTATTGATCCACCAACATTTGTATCGTTCCTTACATGCTATATAAATACAATGAAGCAATAAGAACTAAAATGTACAAATAAATACAGGCGGATACAACATGCAAATAACTTTCTCAGGACTGTGTATCCATATTACTAGGATAAAGAAATAATTAAAAATTAAAAGAAATTATAACTAAATACAAATAAAAATATATAGAAGCGAAAAGGAAAGAACATATTTTATAATATGTTACAAAAGATGGTCTCTTAAGGTGCGACGGAGCTTGTTAGGTGGGTCGAAAAATATATCAATTTTATCTCTAAATGTGTTAACTAGTTTACTCAATCTAGCAATTGGGGAATTGGAGCCAAACACTGTTCTTCTATATGGTCTAGTCAATGGTGTAATCTTACGAGCGTAACGGGGGTAACGAAAGGGAACGCATATATTAAATTTACTTAAAATTTCAGGACAGTCAATAACACCACTAATAATTTTAGAAGCAAAAATCAAATCAATAATATCCCTGCGGTTTTCAAGAGAAATCATTTTGAAATTGATCAAATTATTTTCATATGATACACGCTTCTTATTACTCCTAAATCCGCTTGCGTATGACAAATGTCTTATAAATCTTTTTTGGATCCGCTCGATTCTCAGTGAATGTGTAGCGTAATGAGGTCTCCAGACTACAGCACAGTACTCTAATATACTTCTTACCAAACTGTTAAATAAAAGAATTTTAATTTTAGCATTTCGAAAGACTTTGATATATCTTATGAACCCAACATTCTAGATGCATGTTTAGTAATGTTTTCAATGTGCGGTACGAAAGTTAATTTTTTATCAAATATGACCCCGAGGTCTCTAATTCCGTCTAACTGCTGTATTTTATTACATCCAATGTGATAGCTATAGTCGATAGTGTTACTTTTTCTCGCATATTGCACATAGAAACATTTACTAATGTTTAAGTCCATACGATTTACTTTGCACCATTTAATCAGTTGATCAAAATCGTTCTGTAGGTTTATTGAATCGTTCTCTTCCACAATCGTCTTGCAAATTTTTAAGTCATCCGCATACAAGTACACACGAGACCATTTCATCAATTCTGGAATTTCGTTTACGAACACCCCAAACAGAATCGGTCCAAGGTGAGACCCTTGGGGCACACCAGAATTAATATTTTTTAAGCCTGACTGATATCCATTCACCTTTATGATACAAAGTTACATAAGTAGTTATTTTCGAATGAATTAACATATAGTGGTTTAACAAAATTATTCCTAATATAATAAACAATAAAATGGATATAGGTGAGTAGTAAAAGTAATATAATTTGATGTTATTAATGGATATGAATTCTGATAAAGTTTGTACAAAAGGAGTGTAAACTAAATTTAACAAAGACTTAAGATTTATAGGGTGAGAGATGTTATTAGAAAGGAAATTGTATAGTGAAACGGAGAGGTTAGGGCAGTTAAAATATTTATGATCGATCGTACCTTCGTCTAATCCACACTCATAAATTGAGCTATCTTTAATCTTAAGTTTTGTTAAAAACACAGGTGAATAAGTATGTCCCAATCTAATTCTACATATGCATTTAAGCAACAGTACAGGCATTTCTGCAGGTGGCAAAAATGAGGAGAGAGTGATACCAACTGAGAGAGACACCTGTTTGTAGTGTAGTGGTGATGTAAGTTAAGACTCTGACTAATACATAACAAAAATCTATATACACAAACACACTAAGCTCATTGCAAGTCAACTGCTGAACATGGTCCTAACCCATAAATTGCGCCATAGTTGCCAGGCTTAGTTGCTGAAATGAGCTGTTAACAGGAAGATACCTAGCTGTTAACAGGTAGATACCTATGCCCATCACCTATTAAAGTTTCCCTCTGTCACCTCATACTATGATAGCAAAAATATTGACATATAATAGCAAAAATCAAACAGGTTTAACAAAAATAATATATTAATCGAAAAACAAGTGATTTTGGCCACCACACAATACCCTACCTGGTGTTAAAATCCCTAATCTGCACTTGTCTGAACATATCGCCGAGTAACATAATAAATACCATCACTACAAAATTAACAAAAATATTATTTTATAACCGTGATTACAAATCTATAATGTTTAATTGTAATCTGTGATGCACAGCTATAAAAAGCCATTCCTAGAACAGAGCACAGATTAGTTTTGCAAGTCAAGAAACATGGGCACCGCTACGACATATCAATAACTTACTGTATCACATCTGAATTCTTCATGTTTTTCGACTTTGATATAATTATGCCCTTTTTCCAAATGCTCCTTCAATGCTTCTTCAGTTGGAAATGTATCACCACATTCACAGATAATATAATGTATGCTGACGAATGAGCAATAGAACATTTTCAGGATTAAAATAATAGGCACAGATTACTAACTTATCACCTTCGGGTTTCTGATATGAAATGATTTTATTTTTCTATGCAAAATCCACCGCCATGACAGTATCTGTGGACGCGTGTATTGTGTAACTGCGCACCTAATAGTGATGTGTTTGTAGTTATGTAAATAAATCGATATGTTAGACAGCATTGCATCGATATAAATTAAAATAATAATACTTGTAAATGTTAATTTCACGCACGCTCTTACAAAATACTACTATGTAAACTAATTTGTTTTATATTAAAAGAAGTTACAGCAAAAATGTTTCTTCTCTTCAAATGTTTTGTCTTGTGTTAGTGCATTGCTAGTGACCACACTGAGCAAGCAGGTTAGTAAATGAAGAGTAAGTAATTTTTAACATTGTACAGCCATACTGCAGCTATAATATGGTTGCTGCAGAAATAGATTAGTGCAATCAAGGAAAGACCGCGCTCTCAACGTATATTAGTGTAAACTTTAAGCCTTATACCCTTATGTTTCGTATGATGAATGGAGAAAACAGAAGAGCATTTTTAATAGTAACGAAGCATTTTAGTCCACAGTAGCAACAATTTATCTACGTATTGATTCTTAATCGAAGATAGTTGTAGGTATCAATAGGCCACAGCATCCACTTACCATCAAGTGGACCGTGTTCTCATTTGCTACCCATATTCTATTAAAAAAAGGTTTTTATAATAGCAATCATTTTTTAACTGTATGTACCAAAAAGCCGAGCTGTGACAGCGCTTCTTTTGGACTTTTTACAAGACAGTAAAATATGGCTTAGTTAACATGAAATGAGTGATACAACCTACAGTTATTTTTGTAACTCTAGTGTACATGATCGAGAATACCTTCCGACTTAATTAACGTACCTGATTTAATTATTTTGATAATCCACTTTATTATATAAGGCGCCCTACATTTTAGATGTTTTCTGGCAATAACCTGAATGACTTCAATGATAAATGAATATTTTCTTATTCTTTGTGTATTTTAAATGTTGCTATGCTCTCAGCTGTAATCGGGTTGAAGTTTTTTTTATAGAAGAGGGGGCAAACGAGCACGCGGCCCACCTGATGTTAAGTGACTACCGCCGCCCATGATCAACCGAAACACCAGGGGAATTGCATGTGTGTTGCCGGCCCTTTAGAAAGGAGTAAGCTCTTTTCTTGAAGGTCCCCAGATCTTATCGGTCCGGAAATATGGCCGGTGGTAAACTATTCCACAGAGAGGTCGTACGCGGCAGAAAACTCCTCGTGAAACCTACAGTGGTGGACCGCCAAGCATCCAGATGGTGTGGATGGTATCGAGACGTTTGCCGCGTAGTGCGTTCACGAAATTTAGCGGCTTACTTTAGCGGGATTACTCCGAACAATTCCTCAGAGCACTCCCCATTGTATATGCGAAAGAAAATGCAAAGAGATGCAACATCTCTTCGCAGCGCCAGTGAATCGAGCCGATCGGAAAGCACGACGATTCGAGCCACTCTGCGCTGGATGCGGACAAGTGGAAGGAGCTGGTACTGGGGAGCCCCAGCCCAGAGATGGGGACAGTATTCCATGTGCGGCCGAACCTGCGCCTTGTAAAGTTGCAGGTGGTGAGCCAGCATGAAATACTGTACCGCTCTGCTGAGCACGCCAAGCTTTTTAGAGGCCAATTTGGCCTTCTCTTCCAAGTGACCATGAAACTGCAAGTTCTTTTTATAAACTTTTTTATTTAAAAGGCATATTTTTATAGCATTGAGTGGCAAATGACCACATATACCACCTGATAGTAAATGGATGCTGTGGTCCACAGATATCCACATTTGTCCTCAAATAAGAATCCAAATACAAATATTTTGTCACACCTGAGTACTAAGATGGAATGACTAGATTCCAGAAAAAACAGTCTGCGGTTCTTTAAACTGATCATGTGAAACACAACAGCATTACACTGCTATTTCACGCTGGTATTCGATGAGAGCGTGATCCTGTCCTGATCGAGCCGACCCATTCGTGCTACAACTATAATATAGCTGTAGCATGGCTCTAACACGTAAAAATATCATATAAAAATCACTTATTAAAAAAACTTGTAAACCTAGTAACCAGATAACTTAACAAAACAAGAAACGGAAGTCCTAACCAAAAAGTATTTAAGTAAACACTATGTTTTACTCACGAATTTTTTCCGTGACGAATTGATATGCTTACTAAGAAGCTTTTTTATCAACATAATCGATGCAAGAATCGACGATTTCGTTATAAATTCGTTTAATACCAATTTAAGAAGTTTGGAGCGCTTTTAAAAACATAAAATAGTTGAAAATGATTGTGTACCCTCAGGACAATAACTAGCGCACGTTCCTGTAAGGCAAAAACAGGTTTTGACTTATAATAGGATGAATAATAAAACACAGGGACACTGCGACTCAATAGAAATAGAAAAAATATATTCAGTTATAACACCAAAAGTGAAGTGGAGAATAAAAAATTCCTGTATAAATAATATATCTTCCAATATGATAAAATTTTCTGGGAAATGAGATAAAACCTGTTTCCGAATGTAGCACGAATATAGTCTTTTACTTCTTTCTTTTATTTTGTTGCGTGTATTATTTTATTATAACCTCATTTTTTATGATAAGTTAGGTAAAATTTAAAATATCACGTTGGTGCTCAACTCAACTCAAGCCTAAATATTTTGAAAGTTATGGGATTAGTAGAAATTATTTAGTACACAACAAATATATAAACTTTTACATTATATTATAATTAGAAAAGACACCAATATATAATTAAAAATGTTACTCATTAACATATTACGTTACTAAATATTTACACATCGCTGCTATAGTTTTTGGATGACATCACTAGAATAACATGGCCACCATGTTGTAGACGTAGTGTACTTTCAAATAAATAAACTACTCCAGTCTCTATCTATTATTTTGTTGCTCTGTACATTTAAATTTGTAAACATACATTTTCTCATTTTCTATTTCTATGAGAATTTGTTTAAATTTGAATAGGCTGCTATATTAGAGGCGAAATTTATTTTAGGTGAAATGGGGGAACTCTTAGCATGTCGGATATGTCTGTCTTCAGACGTTAAGTTATATAATTTTTTTAAATACAGATTGGCGGAACCTTTAAGAATTCTTACCGGAATAGAAGTTTGTATTTTTTCATTTTGTTTCTTTACAAATATGTTAAATGTAACTTTGCCCCATGTTCTGTATAAAAGTGGGTAATCTATAAACATTTGTACTGTGATATAAAAATCTATTGTTTTTTAATAAAAATATATATACCTAGTGTACTATCATTAGATATTTACTAAATATTTATCTCATATGTGGGTTACAAAGCCTAGGCTATGGCATTCTCTACGTGTCAAGTTATGGGCATTTAAATTAAAAGACATAAAATTTTTCAGATATCAGAATCTGATGGTCTTCCACCCCATATTTGCAGTTACTGTAGTTCTTTACTGCTCAAGTCCGTAGCATTCAAGGAAAAATGCTGCAACTCGGAGGAACTGCTCAAGTTCTCTTTGATGGAACACAATGTGGTAGATATATACACTTTTTTTGATAACAATATAATCTTACACTAAAAATTTCTTTGTATTTTACTAGAAGGCCACTATGTTACTAATAAATTATGCACTAATTTACAGTCTTTAGTAGTTACAAAGTTTATTTGTAAATCTAGAACATTGTTTTCTTTTCCTTTTCTTGTTTTATTTTTGTTAGTTACCACGTCAATCCCATTAAACTAAACTAACTTAAAATCTACACATTTATTATTAATCTGCACATACTCAATGCCACATCCAAGGTGGAGGGCATGTAGGATGCCCTGTGCTATACCTATATTGCACATATTTATCTCATGTGTCCTTACATATAGTTCCCTTGCAAGGAGCAAGGGAATTATTGGTTCCGCTTACATTCCATATTTTTTTTTGTTGGAAAGGGTGACAATTGAGCACACAGTCCACCTGATATGACAGGCCCATAGACCTCTACATCTATCCTCCATTACGAATCAAAATGCAAATGCTACTATGGAATGCCTCGTTTCCGGTAAAAAGGGTCTCCGATTCTCTACACTAACCATACGAAATACAGCAGCATTAAGCTACTATTTTACGCTGGTATTCTGTGAGAGAATATATATATACTATACTGTTAATATAACTGCAGCATGGCTCTACTATGTAAATTTATATTAGACTATTGAATCATTTCTTTTCATCAAATTCATTCATTCAGTCATTATTTATATGTGTGCTTTGACAATGTGATTTAAAGTTTTTTAAAGGTTATATATTTGTTTTTGCCTAAAAACATTAATTGCCTTAAATAAAAATACAACTGCATGTCATAATTACCATGCCAGCTAAGCCCCCCCCCCCACCCATCAGGTGCCAGCAGGGTGTGACCGCGCTACTTACAGCTGTGACCCAATTTATGTTCTGAATAGGAAGTCTGAAGCCGACTTTCCACTATGGGATGTAATATTAATTTATTCCACTAAGATATAATTTATATTACATCCCAAACTATAAAAATTATTTTGATTATTTAATTATTTGATATTTTCATATTATATTTCACCTCCTGTACCCCGCACACCCTTTCGCGCTTCCGCTACATCCTTAGATCGTCCAATGACAAACGGCACACTGGTTAAAAGATATATCTCACAGTGTGAAGGGCAATCGTGGCATATAATTTATATTTCGGGATATAATATAATATATTATATCCCATAGTGGAAAGCCAGCTTGAAGTCTAGTATTACATTTACATAGAAGTCTTTATCCTATACCCTACCTTATCAGCTTTCGTTGGGGTTGCCAGCACTACCAATTATTTTTACTTTTTAATATAGTATCCTACTATATTTGGGGTCAGAATTCTGTAATTCTTTTAATAGGTAAATCTCTTTTAGGTTGCTAGAAACAGCATAAAGTATTTTTTTAAATAAAATATTAATTTGAAACCTACTACAAATTAATTTTTATTTTTCGTATATTTCGTATTCAGGTAAAGGCATCATAAATATTTTGAATCTGAACTTAAGAATCCATTACTGGGCTACACTAGGCTACAATATCCTTTCATATGTGCATATGTTGTGGATATCTTGATGAATTATTATATTCAGAAGGATCATCCACTATTAGTTAATAGTTGGAGCCCCATTTGTGTTTACTAAGCAACTTTTTACATTAACTTGAAGTGAAAAAAACTCAGACAAACTTCTTAAAATCTTTTTAGCTATTTAAATTAATTTATAACGATTTTAGGTTTGTATTTTTTTTTTAGGATAGGGTGACAAATGAGCACACAGTCCACCTGATGGTAAGTGGTTGCTGCCCTATTGTCAAGATCCAGAAATCACACATATGAATTATTAAACACAGATGAATTATCAAATATATTTATATAATACTAGCAAATTGCTAGTATTATATAAATATATTTGATAATATAAATCAATATTATTAGACAAGCAATTCATATTGAGAGTCATTTTTACTTTTACCACTGGTTTGCCAAAACCTCTGTCCTGGAAAGAACCACCAGGAATTCCAGTGGGACATTTTTTTCAACGTAAATTAATTATTAAATAATAAAGGTTGTAACAAATGATTTACAAAACTTATTTAGAAAACAGCTATTCTATAAAACAAAACACTATCTTTACTTATTCTATAAATAAAATAATTTATTTATCATTTAATTACAAAAACACATGTTACAGATATTGATATATTTATTTCTAATTAAGATATCACGTTGTTGAATTTAAAATGCATAAAGGTACCCAAGGACATGGGAACCTTTACAAACGTTTAATAGAGAAGTTGCATAATTTTTTTGCCCTAAACCTATATATTAATGAAAGAATAATTCATTTGAAAGTATATTAATTTAATTAGTTTTTTATTGGTTGTGATGTCATTATATTCGTTGATATGAGCCAATTGCAATCATGCCATACTTTTGTATTTTCTTTGTTTGGATCACCATGTGTCATAACAAAATATATGTAACCTGTATTATGCAATGACATTTTTTTTAATTTTGACAATGTAAACATGAGTTTTTTATCTTTACATCATGCGGTGGTTACTGAAGCGATATAATGACGTCACTGGCGTTTGAATTTACATTTTGGACATACCATTTTTAATTGTAAGATTGTATGAAATTCAATTGTTATATATTTTTTTTAATTTTTCTTAATAATTTTTTGTACTTTCAAAAAAAATTAAAAACAGCACTTCTCTATTCAATCTATCATTTTGTGCGTGATTTATATATCAATTGAAGCGTGACTGAATGATAGGGATGAAAAATCGTGTGTTAAGATATAAGTATGGTTTGAAAGACGATGTTGTGAGGCTTAATAAATTATTGCCTGGCTGGTTTGGAAATGTAAGAAACAAATAAATGAGGAAAGGGTAACTAAGTAATTTTATGCGAGAAGCGACAGAGCTGGCAAGTGAAGTCGTAGACAGAACTTCATCAACCAATTTGGCGATATATAGAAGACTTGTTCCCCACGAATTTGTCCACGAGCAATTTATTAAGATTGGATTTCATGGGTTTTAAAATCTTCAACTCCATTTGGCATGACCCTGACACGCCTCTTTTGCTTCCTTCCCATCCAATTATCAACAAATTCATGCTCATCGGTTAAGGGTACTTACTCTTAATTTGGCCCATCTATATACAAATAAATAAAATTGAATAGTCTGTTTGTAATGTCAAAATAACAGCTTTTTAGCAAATCCATATGAAAGTATTAAAAATGGTAGCCATGCAGCAGTTATATTAGTAGTATAGTTGTAGCACAAATGGGTCGGCTCGACCAGGGATAGGACAATGCTCTCACAGAATACCAGCGTAAAATAATAGCTTAATGCTGCTGTGTATCGTATGGTGAGTGTAGTGAACCAGAGATCCTTTTTACGGGAAATGAAGCATTCCATCTTAGTCCTCACAGGTGACAATGCATCTGCGTTTTGATTCATATTGTAGGATAGATGGAGATGTCTATGGGTCAGAGCAACCACTTTACCAAGGATGTGTCGCCTTTACAATGATATATCCCAGGACTATCCAAATGTTGATATTCTAGGTTCAAATCCAAATATCTTCTATAGATCTATCCATGATATTCTGAATTAATTGGACTTATCTGTTTAATTTTTCTACTTACTTTTGTTCTAGCTTTAAATCTGTAAGAGGCCTCTTGTAACCTTCTGGATGGGTGATTGCAAAACTACTGTTTATTAAATTATTTATAACCTTAGTAGATGTTAACTCATTATAATCTACTTCATAAACACATGTTTTTGACCTACAGTTTTTTTTATTATGTGCAAGCAGCTCTGCAGGTCTAGGGAATGAGACCAGTATTACTGCAATCTAAAAGATCTATTGTGAACGCTGCTATGACTATAGTTCACTGCTAAGCCCTATGTCTTAAATGAATAGAAGGAGTTGCTCAGCTGTGAGCAATGTCACTACTTATGGGCGAAGTACATAGTTTCCGAGATGAGTGTTACGTTTGTGTATTAAAGCTCCGCAATCGGTTAGTATGTGCAGAGGCTTTTCTTCCGTTATGGAACAGAACCGACACGTACTTGAGTTGCTTAGTCCCAGGATGGACATGTGCTTTTTAAGACAACAGTGTCCAGTTAGGGCTCTTGCCTGATTGGCTTACAGTTTAGTACTTTATCATTTAATTTTAGGAAACTTTTATCTCCACAACTGTAAACTGCATAGTGTTAATAAATAAAAATAAAATTAAAATCTCTGTTACAGCTGTCTCTAGATTACCTGGAATCAATCAGAAAAGAATTGCAACTGACCCTGCCCTACTGCACCGTGATTACCAGGGAATGTGATGAAGTCCCCGAAGATATTATTAATGACTCTGACCTTATGATAAAAGAAGAAGTGGTTGAGACAAGTAACACGTTGGTCGAATTTAAAATTGAGAATTTAACAGATTCGTCCACAGAGACAATAAAACCGTATAGAAGAGTCAAGAAAGAGAAAGAGAATGAAGTACTTGATGTTAAATTCGAAAATGACATTGAAACTATCAATTTTGATAATGATGAACCAGATCAGTCGGCTCCGCTAGATGACAGTGATGGTCAAGAGGATCTAGAGGCTATGAAGGATATTGAAGTGGTTGTATTAACCAAGGAGCAACAAATAGAAGAGGTTCAAGCTAGGAAGACATCAGCAAACTATATAAATTCGTTTTACAAATGTGAGCAGTGTTACAAGGGTTTCATGACTGAGTCAACACTTAAAAATCACATGCTCAAGCATGATCCGGTAAGCTTGAAACTTTTTCTCTTTCTAAATTTGTTTAAAATGATATCTTATAATTACGCGAACACTACACATTAAATAAAACTATTTTTTTAAATAATAATTTTATTAATGAAATAAAAGGACTGTGTGACTTACGTTACAGACTTCCCCCGCTCTTCCATAGCCATACAAAAACATAATATTATAATATTTAGATGTGTGTGTTTGTGTTCGTTGTATACACACGTATGGGTGTGTGTTTGTATTTGTGTGCGTGCGTGTGTGTTGTGTGCGTGCGTGTGTGCGTGCCTGGGCGTGCTTTTGTGTCCTGCCCTGTTTTAAAATATGTATAAGTTTTTCTGTGCTTTGGTCAAGACAAGACAAGGTCTTTAGCCAATTTATAATTCATAACTTGCAGTCTTTCGTATTTCTAATAATGAATATAGTCTATTTTGATTAATCTTATATTTACGCGAACACTACACATTGAAATAATACTAGTTTTTACGGAATTTATAGCGTATATTTAACTTTTTAAATACCCGAAGTTTCGAACGCTTTACAGCACTCATGGTCACGGGCGGGACTAAGATGTTCAACATCCATATGTCATAGTTAACCGCGGTTACCATAGATTAAAATTTAACTTTTGTTCCGATCTATGCAGTATGAACTTATGGTATCTTGAAGTCTTGCAGTTTTATGCTTGGGTTGGGATTTAATTTTATTTATTATAGGATCCCAAGCAGATGGTAGCACCCAGCCATCTTCTCTATTGAAATTAGGATGTTTTTTGATTTCAATAGCCTCATGAATCATCCTTGGAAGGAATCGGTGTTCTTTAGCGAGGATTTGCGGTCTATCAAATCTGATGTAGTGACGGGGGCGATCCTGTACGTGTTCACAGACTGCAGACTTCCCGGAGCGTCGATTCTTCACATCAGCTATATGTTCTTTAACGCGGGTTTTTATTGATCTTTTAGTTTGTCCTATGTAGGAGAGACCACATTCACAATCAAGCTTGTACACTCCTGCATCTTGCAGAGGGACATTACACTTGACTGATGGTAAAAACTGACCAATCTTCTTCAGCGGCTTGAAGTATGTTTTGATGGAAGCACGCTTCAAGATGTAGCCAATCTTGTCAGTGACTCCTCTAACATATGGCAGTACAGCAGGTACACGCTCGACTGTGGCCGGCTTCACTCGTTCACTGTGACGTAGGCGCGGGACTCGAAGCTTGTTGTCATGCAAAATTTGCTTGACATGGTGGAGCTCGGCAGCCAGGTGTTTACTGTCACAAATCCCTCGTGCTCTCTGAAACAAAGATTTACCCACGGTAGCTAACTGTGAAGGATGGTGGTGAGAATCACCATTTAAATATCTATCTGTATGGGTCTTTTTTCTTTACACAGTATGGTTCAAGGTGTTATCAGGATTCCGAATTACTAACACATCTAGAAAAGCTAAGGAATTGTTTGCCTCTAACTCCATTGTGAACTGAATTTTAGAATTTAAGTAGAGTTAAGATGGTCTAAAAATGCATTTACTTTGTCTAAAGGTAGAATATGTGAAAGTCTCGTCTACGTACCGCTTGTAGAATCTTGAATTTATGGGAGAACTAAGCAGGGCTTTCTCCTCAAAGTCTTCCATGAATATGTCGGCGACAATGGGAGATACAGGTGAGCCCATCGCCACACCATCTACTTGCTTGTAGAACTCCTCCTTCCACAATAGGTAGCCAGATGTAAGGCAGTGTCTGAGTAATACTGGATATTCTACGGGCATGTTGTTTTCTTCCAGCCTTCTAGTTGCAATTGAGATGCAGTCTTCAACAGGTAAGCATGTAAACAATGACTGCACATCAAAACTGACTATAGTTTCATTGTCATAGATGGTAGTCGTAGTAGTAGTAGGTCTTTAATCTCGCTGACAAAATGGTAGGAATCCTTTATGTGTGCTCTTGTATGTCCCCTGAGCGGTGAGAGTATTTTCGCTAAGTGTTGAGCCAATCTGTAGGTTGGTGAATCGATTTGGCTCACTATGGGACGTAATGGAGCATTGGGCTTGTGTATTTTTGGTAACCCATACAATTTTGGTGATTTGGCGCACGTAGGTATTATCCATTTTACGTCCAGATTTAATTTTTCGGAGTGTTTCTTTATGAGGTCACTAGTTGTTTTTAGTGTGCTATTTGTTGGGTCTTTTTTAACCTTTTTATAAGTACTTACATCCGACAAAAGTTCTTAAATTTTAGAATTATAATCTGACGTATCCATGACTACCGTGGCGTTTCCCTTATCTGCGCGGAGAATCGTAAGTTCTGGTTTATTGCGTAGGTTCTTTAACGCTATAAATTCGTCTTTGGGAAGATTCGGTTTAGGCACTGAACATCGACGTAACATAGACGAAATGTCTTGACGTATCGCCTCCAAATCTTTCCGCATATTGTTTTAAATAAACAGTCCTCAACACTACAGATAATTTCTTCGTATGGTAATTTGCGCATAGGACAAACTAAAAGATCAATAAAAACCCGGGTTAAAGAACATATAGCTGATGTGAAGAATCGACGCTCCGGGAAGTCTGCAGTCTGTGAACACGTAAAGGATCGTCCCCGTCACTACATCAGATTTGATAGACCGCAAATCCTCGCTAAAGAACACCGATTCCTTCCAAGGGTGATTCGCGAGGCTATTGACATCAAAAAACATCCTAATTTCAATAGAGAAGATGGCTGGGTGCTACCATCTGCTTGGGATCCTATAATAAATAAAATTAAATCCCAACCCAAGCATACAACTGCAAGACTTCAAGATACCATAAGTTCATACTGCATAGATCGGAACAAAAGTTAAATTTTAATCCATGGTAACCGCGGTTAACTATGACATATGGACGTTGAACATCTCAGTCCCGCCCGTGACCATGAGTGCTGTAAAGCGTTCGAAACGTCGGGTATTTAAAAAGTTAAATATACGCGATAAATTCCGTAAAACTAGTATTATTTCAATAGTCTATTTTATTAAATTAAGCGTTCATGGTTACGGGGGAGGGGGGTGAGGTGTTTGATATCCTGATGCCATTGACACTAAAAGCTACCTTTTACTTTTAAATATTAACCATTGGTCCAACCTACGTAGAACAAGCTGCAGTAGCTATTTTATCAAGAGGACTGTAAGTTGTTTGTCACTTCAATTTAATATACAACTAGCTATCCGAATCAGAACTATCTCGACAACAGTGCCCACCACCACCCATAGGGTCCAATTGTGTGAATCAAAACCATCCAACTCAAACACACTAAAAAGTTCTTTAAAATCAGTCGAGCCATTTTCGAGTTTTAGCGAGAGTAACGGACAGTAATCGATTTTTATGTACAAGTTCAGAATCGTTTACTGAATCCATTTCTATCATTTTTAATATAGGTAATTTTTTATTCCAAAAATAATTAAAAAAACGAGATAAATTACAGTCACACTAAACTTGTACAGTCAAAACAAACTGAAATAAACCGTAACTCAAGGCAATAAGACTTGAAGGCGCAGTTTTATTTGTATTAATACAAATTCCGTCATTCAATTCGAAATAAAGAAAAATGAACCTTATTTTCAAATTATAAATATAAATAAATGTTATGTACAATTCTACAGAAGAGGGGTGAATACGAATGCGATGTTTGCTGGGGGCGTTGGCCGGAACCTCGGTTGCTTCGCTGGCACGTAGTGTCGTCGCACGAGAGGAAGTACATCTGCAAGCTCTGCGACCATGTCTCCAGGTCCAGGTAAGTGTAAAATACATACAATACATAGTGTTGCGCGCCATAATTAATGCCTGGTACATGGAGACACTAGTTACCACTAGTGTCATCTAGTATCGAGTAGCGGAACTAGGAGAGTCAAGATCTCTAGAAATTTCTATGCTAGAACTTTTTACACCTAGTTAGTCGGGACCAGTATCTACTCGAATATTCTAAATGTTTCAGTAGAAGAGACCCTATAAGGCCGGTATAGACCGTGACCCGGGTCAGTATTGAATTGGCGATCCAAGCGAATACTTCGAAACGATACAAATGCAACAGTAGTACACTTGTGTTTTATCATTAGTGTGTTTTCAGGTGTTCTGTAATTAAAGTGTCAATTTTGGTAATTCAATCGGCAGTTTTTAGTGTCACGAACCGCAAGCTCGTAACAATAGTGTAGTGTATATTCTAAATATTGTTACTTGTGGGTGAAACATTCTCGCTCACTTGCCGCCGAAGTTTGACCAATAAAGAACGTGCTACGTTTAAAATCGGCAATTCGTTAATTAACTTGTCCTGTGTTTGAATGACATTTAGTAATGATAAAACAATTAAATTTTCAGAATTTTATGAGATTCAGCGGGTAATATGATGATGATCCTCATGATAAAAACCATAAATTGCACGTAGTAGCTACTTATACTGAGCAGACATAATGCTGTCGCACCAACAAATTCGACGTCAGTCATTGTTGCGAGTTTACCAATAACGAAGTATGAAGGCTGAGTATGACCCACCCACTCGCGTCATTATTGTCGCAGAAGTATTTAGGGTTGGCGAATTTTATCAAACCGCCACGAAAGAAAGAAGAAGAAGTATTTAGGGAAATATTTTCGGCAGTGACAGGAGCAGTAACAGTGCCTGAGTGTAAATGGGGCATTACGCGCGGAAGTCAAAGGACGGGCAGCACGAGCGCGAGCAAGTGTTTACAATTTATATTCTTGCTCACTTACCGCCGAAGTTCTAACGAGAAAGAACGTGCTACGTTTAAAAACAGCAATTCGTTTGTGAATCTGTCCTGTGGTTTAACTTATTTTGCCACCGCACACTCTAACGCCACAGGAGTGTAGTAATGATAAATCAATTAAATGTTTAGAACTTTATGAAATTGAGCGGGTAATATGGGATCCTCATGATAAAAAACATAAAGTGCACGTAGTAGCTACTTATGCTGAGCAGACATAATGCTGTCGCACCAACAACCTCGACGTCAGTCATTGTTGCGGGTTGCGGGGGGGATCAATAAAGAAGTATGAATACTGAGTATGAAAACCCACTTGCTTCGTTATTGTTACAGAAATATTTAAGGAAACGTGTCCGGCAGCGACAGGAGCAGTGGCAGTGGCTGAGTGTAAATGTGGCATTACATACAGCCTATTAAAAAGTCCAATGCTGTACACAGGCCTCCCTATAGATTACCTCATAGTTGGAATACTTGCCATAGTTACCACGCTTGGCAGGCTGGTTGCCAACCGCAATGCTGATATGATCTGAATAATATGAGATGAATATAATAATTATTTTGTTGTATTGTGTAGCCACCGAGCAAGAGAGCACAGCAAATGGCACACTGGATTCACATTTGACTGCCAGATATGCGGGGCTAGCTTTGCGTGAGTATAATTTACTACCACACATACACATGCACGCACGTACGTACGCACGCACGCACATACGCACGCACACACGCACGTATGTACGCAAGTACGCACGCACACACGTTTAATTAAAGTATAAAAAAGTATTTGCGATAAAGAATGTGTCTGGTAAATAACCTTCCCGAGAGTTGAATACAATAAAATCATTCATTTAAGCTTTAGGCTCATTGCCACTTCAGCTTACTAATCCGTTTAGTAGTTATCAAACATATACTCTTTATTGTACTATTTATTATTAATTATGGTAAATCTCAACATTTTTGTCCAGCAATGGGCTGTACTGGTTGTTTTAACTGGTAAAGGGTTATTTTTAACAGGAAATCAACAAGTCACCTCACCCACATAAGGCTGCAGCATCCATCCAACCACTGCTGTGACGTCTGCGGAGAGTCGTTCATCGGAGAGTACGGACTCAGGATGCACAAGACACGAGCTCATAAGGATCTGGAGGTGAGGTTTCCTATAATCATCTATATTGTAACGTTTTGGGGGAGTAAAAACGTAGATTAGGACTCTTTTTCTTTCTAGAAGGCCGTCTGGGTACATACACTCACACGCACGCGTACACAAATAAGCACACAGAGAAAGGGAGAGAGAGAAAGAAAGAGAATGAGAGAGAGAGAGTGAGAGAGAGCGAGAAAGATAGAGAGATAAAGATAATGAGAGAGATAGATAAATATAATTAGAGAGAGAGAGAGAGAGATAATGAGAGTATATGAGAGAGATAGAGAAAAAGACAGTCAATCCTCGCGCACGCATAGTAAGCACTACTGTGTTCATATTGCGATTATTAGAAATTTTTATCCAATGAGAGGAGTGGTTTTCGTAATCTAGATCAGTCTGGTTCTTTCAAACATTTATCAATCATCCGGATTGAAACTCCAAAAGATGATAGATAATTTAGTAGTGTGATAGAAGATGATGAGAATATGATGATGGGAATTAAGTAATGCAACCTATACATATAAATAAATAAGGTGTTTATTTGTACAACAGCATAAGCTTTTTTACTAAATGCATATATGAATATATGGTTGCTACTTGGTACTTAAAACAAAATTTAAAATTTTTGTCAGTCTGCTTGTTCCGGCTAGTCTCCGAAATGGCTGGGCCCACATTGTAGGAACCTACACTGGCAAATATCTGATGTTATAAGAAGTTAGGCTACGTTTATTTCGTTCCCCAAAAAATTCTATTCTATAAATATCCGTAGTAAATTCACAGTTAGTATTGAACAGCTAGTATTGAGGAAAGAAATCAGGAGTTGGGCAGCACTATCACTATCATTACAGCCCTTCACAAGTCCACTGCTGAACATAGGCCTCCCCCAAGTAATGCCACAAAGCACGGTCCTGAGCCACCTGTATCCACCGACTTCCTGCATATCTTACTCGGTCGTCACTCCATCTAGTGGGGGGTCGCCCTACACTACGCCTACCGGTACGAGGCTGCCACTCGAGAACCTTTCGTTCCCATCGGTTATCGGTTCTTCGAGCTATATGGCCGGCCCATTGCCACTTCAGCTTACTTATTCGTTGGGCTATGACGATCACTCTGGTTCTACTGCGGATATCCTCATTTCTGAGTCTATCACGCAGAGAAACTCCGAGCATAGCCCTCTCCATAGCTCGCTGAGCGACCTTGAGCGTCCTCATACGGCCAGCAGTGAAGGACCACTTCTCAGATCCGTAAGTCATCACTGGCAACATGCACTGGTTGTACTGTAACGACATAATCCGGATAAATTATAATGAAATGGAACGTATTTTATTATTTTGACTTGAGAAATTGAAATGTTAATAAAATCAGACGTCACTTTGCGGAAATCCATTTTATCAATTCAAATCAATTTTATTAAATAATTGGTAACCGCAATTAAATAATTACGGTTACCAATCCGTTTGCTAAGCGTGGCAGCTGTGGCAAATCTGATACCTTTAAACGAGCGATTCTTATATATATATATATATATATATATATATATATATATATATATATATATATATATATATATATATACAATATGTAACGTAATTAATACACATCCTCAGACACCCCAATTAGTATATTATGTTATAATCATAATGCATACACTGAATTTATAGTTAAACATTTTTATGCACTGATTATTTATCAAATTAGTTATACTAATTCCGGAAGAATGTTGTGGTTACAGTACAAATCCACGAACGCAAAGACTTTAACGTGCTTCAAATAAAGTTCATTTTTCTTTATTTTTAATGAATGAGAGAATTAGTAATAATATCTACAAATAAAACTGCACTCTTAAAAGTGTTATTGCCTTAAGTTACGGTCCATTTCAGTTTGTTTTGACTGTACAGATTTAGTGTGACTGTGATTTACGTAGTTTTAATTATTTTTGGGATAAAAAATTACCTATATTAAAAATGATAGAAATCGATTCAGTAAACGATTCTGAACAAACTACTTTCTCAAAGTGCGTTAATTACGTTACATATTGTATATATATAATCGAAATCTCGGAAACGACTCCAACGATGTTCATGAAGTTTAGTGTGCAGGTGGTTTCGGGGGCAAATAAATCGATCTAGCTAGAGGATTCGTTTTTAGAAAATGTCTCCGTGTCTTCAGGCAATGAAAAACTGCTACAATATCATTAGAATGCGAAGGTAAATTATGCCGGTGCATTTAAGGTTATAATAGCTCAATCGGGATATCGGGCGGTCCCGAAATCGTGGTAACCCGGTTCGAGTGCAGATGTCTTAGGTCTGACGTTTTTCCCTCAATCTATTTTTCGAGACCTTTTTTAGTATTTTTTTTTAAAACACGAAAAATTTGGTTAAAATAATTGCACTCACGATTTTTTATTTAAAAAACCAGTTCAGTTTTTTTATTATGATCGAAAATGTATTCATATTTCATCAGTATATAAATTGTATCTAAATATATTTCCAAAAAACACACCAAAAAATACCGAGCAAAGCTCGTCATCCAGGAAAAACCATACTAACATATATGCTTTCTGTTCCTGTAATAAAGATATTTTGTTTCTTTATTTAATATTATGCCCCTTACGAGACAATCTATGGTAAACCTCTGTTCAGCCGTGCACTTTAATAGGCTGTAACGGTGACGTTATTCTATTCTATTCTAAACACAATCTGTTCCAGGATGAAGGTGCTAAGGTG